TAGTGACATACTAAGATCATATTGTTTACACTAATCAATATTGTCCTAATACATGTGTTATAATCACCCAAATCAATATGTTACAACATATGTATTATAGTTTCACTCGTCGATGTATTACAACACATATTATATTCATACCAATCAGTATTTTTATGACACATGTATTAGTTATTCCTTTTCTTTTACTCATATTTTGTCAGATATTCACATCAAATTTCATTCCTCACTTTTACTACTAATAAATTTTCCTTCATTTCTTTTTTTTTCATGCAGTTCATTGAATTGAATCATGTCTTAATCAAAGCATACTTGGACTAAGTCCATATCACGTATATTAAAGGAACAAATTTTAATCATTCTAGATTAATTAATCATGCATCATCAACATTTCTTAATGGTCAAAGATTTTAGTTAAGAACATATTGATGAAATAAAAAAAACATATCATCATGCAAATCAATACAATGTTGATGAATCCATACTTTATAGATATTTTGTTTGGTTTTTATAAAGTTTTAATACAAAAAAATAGACTTAGAGATTGTAAATAACATTAAAATCTCATTTAGGTAAAAAATAATAGCTTTCTTAATTTTTGTCTTATTCTATTAATTTTTGTTAATATATTTTGCAATTTTGATCATTTGAATAATTGTGCAGGAAATTCTAGACCAACTTCATGAATTTTTGGCTCTTTGAAAAAATATGAACTGAGAGTAACTACTCTCAGATACTACAGTAATCACTCCAGGGAGTTGGTTTCAAGGGATAGACCAGAGTAACCACTTTCAGATATCAAAGTGATCACTCCAGAAGCCCCATACCCCAAGTCCCTGCGCGTAAACACTCTCAGAAATGAGAGTAATCACTCCAGAGACGCTCAGAAAGAAGTGCCTTGCGCATGTTTACTCTTATAAATGAGAGTAATCACTCCAGAGATGCCTAGTCTCAAAGTGCCTGCGCGTGTTTACTCTCAAAAGTGAGAGTAATCACTCTAGAAAGGGAAAAATCTAAAGTTGCTATGCGTAAACACTCTTGTTTACAGAGTGATCACTATGGGGTCATGTCATACTTAGTATATATAGAATTTTAGAAATTAGGGTACGGATCATTTCATAATTTTTAGATTCTTTGCCACTTTTGGGAGCATTTTGCAGAGCTTAGGATCCTTGGGTGACAGCCAAGGGCAATCTTAGGGTTTGATTTACAATTTTCTTTTCAATTTCCTTTAATTCTTGCATTGATGTCATTGAATTCCTTTATCTTTCATCTTAATTTTGTAAGACTCACCCTCATGGAGGGCTAAACTTTCTTGTAATCCTTAGTAAGTTCATGCATTCTTGAATTCTTGGTTATGAATGTCAATATAATTTTCTTTCCTTCATGAATTTATTTTCCCCAACTCTTTGAATTGAATTAATGTTTGAATGAGGGGAACATTGCTTAATTAATCCTAATTCGTTTTAATGAAATTCGTAACTTAGTTTGCTTAATCCCAAGTTAATTTCTAAGGTAGCGTTATCTTGGGGATGAGAGATTGGAGCCTATATAAATTGCTTAATTCATATGGAAGTTTAAGATTAATTCATTCTTTTTGAGTTACCCTAATTCAAAGGAAGAGGAAAAGTATTGAATCTTGAGAGAGATAAGGATAGAATTGCATGAACAAACTAAGGATTGCATATTTCATTGATTGGATTCATTAATTTCATCACTTGCCTTTACATTAAAATTGGAATCACACAAAACCTCCTTATTTTAATTGCTTTCATAGTAAATGTTCACAACATGTTCAATGTATGTTACAAACTAAAGTTTTTGGAGACAACCTAGGTTTGTACCCTAAATTACATAAATTTTTCTGCAAATTTTGATGAAGGTTAACGACAAATTTTTTTGCAAATGAGAAAATATTCGTTCATCAAATATGCCGAAGGTCAGTCAAACACCTTTGTACTCAAATCAATAACATAGTTCAGAAGTATATTGTTGAAGATCATACTCTCTCGATCTTAATAAAGTTTAGCATTTTCTACTTTTTCATTACCCAACACATATAATATCCAAAATAATATTTTATAATATCAGTAGTACATATATATAAATATGATGAGTAATACGCCTATGAAAACTTCTTAAACATTTACTAAAAAACTCAGGTTTAATTGATTCTTAAACAAACTAAACCTTTTTCATACCAAAATTTCATTTCTAACATTTCAGCTTCAAGAAAACTTTATAGATTTGTTATTTAAATAAAATAGTTAGCTCTTCCAATATATATATAATTTAGGATTTAGGATCAACTCCCTTTACTTAGAAATAAGTCTTTGAGACTAGGTTCTTCGTGAGATCTAGAGGAAAGCTCAACGTTTTGACAGAAAATACTACCCAAGGACCAATTTTTTTCCTAACATCACAGAGTAGAGTATTTCATAAAAAGAGAGAACAGGAAATAGGAGTGAGATAAAAGAGTTAAGCTTTGGAAACTTACTAGGATGCAAGTGGAATAGGTGTTCGAGTTCAGATCTAAGAAAGATTCAGAGTTCAAAAAGGTTTTCTCTAAGAAGGGAAAGGGAGAGAATAGAGAGAATGAAAAGGATAAGTTGTTTGGCAAATAATAAAATTTCTTAACGTTAAGTTCCTCAAATACCCTTTAAAACTTGCGATTTCTTGCTTGAGCGAGCGGGCTTTTACTTGAGTAAGATCATTCTCGACTGAGCGAGCTCCTTCTTGCTTGAGCAAAAAAATTAGACAATGATTTTTCTAACCTTTTTTGATATTCTTGCTTGAGCGAAGGGTATTCTCGCTTAAACAAGAATGAGTTCAGATACTTTTCCATTTTCTTACAACTTCTCACTTGGATGAGCCACATCTTGCCTGTATGAGGGGACAGTTGGGGCAATATTATCCTCTCTTGCTTGAACGAGACTCATTTCACCTGAATGAAAATGCCTAGAATACCTAGTTCAGAAAACTGTCTCACTTGAACAAAAAAACCTTGCACAAAAATTCCCATTTTCTAAAAATAAAGGTAATAAAAACTAAGGTATTACAATCATTTTACTTCCTAATCTTCCTTTCACATTCAAAATTATTTGATTATTACTTGATAATAATTAATTTCTTTCTTTATATTTAAATTATAATTCTTTTTAATAATTTTTAAACAATAATTTAATTAAAAAAAATATAAACAAATCCATGCAACATATGGGTATATTATTTACTAGTTTCTAAAGCAAAGTAGAATGATAAAGTCAATAAATTCTTTCTTTAATGTCTCTACTTTTTATTATTTAATTACTTTTTAACTTATTTTTCCTGTCGATCACCTTTAAAAATTTTTGCAAGTTTTATTGTCAAAATCTCTCTCTCCTCATTAGGCAATATTTCCTTTGCTACTACCAAGTGATAGGCCTTAGGAATGATTTTCAATTCAAAATTTTTAGAAAGAAATATTGACCACAACAAGGGCATTACACATTGTATGTGCAACATGTGTCAAGCACAGAGTATATTGACTTTATAATGAGTGATTTTTATTTTTTAAAAAATAAGTATTATTCTTCTTGTGAGTACATAATAAAAAGTCTTACTATCAACAACTTTAGTTTGTTAGTAGTATTTAAAAAATAAATTATTACTAATGATTTAATTATTCATAAAATTGTATTTGAAGAATGAAAAAATTACATTATTATTTCATACAAAAATGTAAAATTATTAATGTAGTTGATTCATTTGTTTGGGGGACAAGTATTTAATATAAGTGAAAATTAACAAAGTTACAACAATTTTGTAAAGATCTCGTTGACAAAGAAACCGAGAGCATCCGATTCGAACAATAAAAAATGTATTTACGGAAATCAACTCTACGTGTGTACGCGTGTGTGCTAAGGTTCTATAAATGTCCCACCATGTTCCACAATTCTAGCACCTGCATGCGATGGTTTGTGCACTTGTCCCTTCACTAATCCACAATTCTAGCGTCTACATTCCCACCAACCATGTTCCCGACGAACATTGCAACATGCAACGTACCACTCGTGCCACTCAATTATAGCGAAAAGATATAAAAATCTTTGAAAGAACCACATCATAACTGATAAGTTCAATGCCTTATAAACCTTAAACCAAAATCCTATACTAATTTGGAACTCCATTTCCATATTCTAATTAGGATTCTAGAAGTGTGAGGGTAAGAATCTCTAGTTTTATTGTCAATTCGTTTTGATAAGTTATAATAAAAAGTACAACATAAATTATATGAGACCTATCATAATTTGTGCAGCGTTTATTAATTTGTTTATTGTATTTTCTTTTCCTCCTAACATTATATTATTATTTTACGAATATTGAAAATAAAAATGAAAAACCATCCGTTCGAGTATATGCAATTGCCCTGGCCGTGGAGAACGGGTCTGTTCCATTTTCATGCCCCATCTTCTGTGATCATATTCAACGAGCATCTCATGTGGCAGTTGATTGGAATCATGGTAGTACTGAAGAACACCTTTCTCTGTAAAATGCCTTGGTTTTTTTAAGACATTCCCGGGCTTAAGTACTCGAGGAGTTGCAGATGAAAAGCTCCTCAAACTGAGCGGTGTTTGCTCCAACGTGAACTCTTTATCATCATTCTTGCAATGGTTCAATTCCACAAAACAAAGGCCTGATGTTGTCCCCCTTTTCTTGAAAATGAAGCCAAGTGTAGCCAACTCATAACTTAAGACTAACTAAAACTCTTTTAATAAATATTGTTTCATACACATGCTTTAAGAGATTTGAATATTTTTCCAAACACGATAGATATTTTATTCTGATGTTCTAATTATAATTTAAGAAAAATTAAATAAAATAATATGTAAAAATTTACCCATCAACATAAAGATGAATAAAATAATTGAGTTTTCATCAATCAATTATTTTGTACAACTATATTTAAACGACAATAACTTAACTTCAGGTCAAGCTCAAATATATATTGATCTTCGTGAAAGTTCGGTAAAGGTATCATAAAACTTGGTCAAAGTTAAATACTCAGTTGTCGAATTTAAAACCCATTACACATCTCAAAAATGGATGTCACACCAAAATTTGTAGTAATTCAAAAACACAAAACGCTTTTCATCATATTCTTACAATGTAATATGTACGTAGTACTCAATTTTTGTCAAAACTAAGAGGAAAAAGGCCAATTTCTCACCCAATCTGTCAAAGTTGCAACATTTCTACTGACGTCTTCAATAGTATCACTCTTCATTGCAACCACTCTGTCCTCTGGGTAACTTTCTTTAGCCTCCTCAAGCAGAACTTGAAAGATTTCACATTCAATGTTATTCGAGATTTTTGAATCCTTGTACCCTCTGTCACAGATGGGGTAAGTAATTTTATAATGAAACCGACAACAGAATCATGAAATCAACATTCAGTAACAGAAACAGGTGCTTCCATACCTCTTACTCAAGCGGTCATACAAAATGGTGTTATCAGTTTGAAGTACAATAACATAATCAAACCATCGCTCAGGAAAGAAATCACAGCCATGGTAGTCCACAATGTTCCCTCCCTCTTCCATAATATCCTCAAGTTCATCACAGACCTACAGAAACCATGGAAAATATACTTGTAAAACTATCTATATATCAGCAGTGAGAATACAAACAAAATTGTTCCTTGTAATTCAACAGTGCACCAAATTGAGGTACTAATTCAACATCAGAATAAAATATCTTAACACATAATTGAAAAGAAAGTAGGCTCTTAATACTAAATCAGAAAGGGACTTCCATTTGCTTGTAGCAACTAAAACCCTAGTAAATTACAATTAGATGTTTTATCCGAAAGCAAAGTAAAAAAATTAGAAGAATAATTAGTTTCAATGTCTTTGATCACCGTTGTGCCACTGCAAATTCAATGCATTCTGGTAACAAGAGTCATTATCAAGAGGAATGAAAGAGAAGGTGGTAAAGATGGCTGCAAGAGGATAAGACATCAGAAGAATAAGAATAAATGGCAAGTATATTTCCAAGGGAACATGGTCTATACAATGGGTCCAAAGCTCATCTACTTCAGGAAGCTACTTTCACCATTAAACTGTAAAATTTTCCCATTCCCTTTTCAACCCCAATCTTGTGATTCGTAATCTCCAAGAGATTAGGTAGCATGCACCTTTGCTACCAAAGAAAGGAATCATGATGTAATCTCCAATACCTTAACTCTGATAATTATAGTTATAGTCTTTATTGAATCTGTAGATATTCTCTGCACATTCTCAAAACAAAATTACAAGAACTCCATTGAAATCCACATCCAATACATTCCATGGGGCACCAATACTTACACGGTTACACCAAATAAAAGCAGCAAGAATGGTCATAAGTATATAAATTGGTAGCATACCAAGTCTTCGTTCAGAACATAACAATCAAGCTCATCATCCCAGCCATCATGCAAGTTCTTTTCTTTGACCAATTCCCCGACATTGATGTGGTGGAGCTGGGTGGCTTCTGCTAGAGCAGTGGACACAGTTGTCTTTCCTGTTCCTGGTGTCCCAGTCACCAGAATGTTTGGCTTCTTCCTCTTGCTGCTTTCTTGCATCATGACTACAACCTACAGTAAAAAGCAAACACTTTTAACATTGAAATGGTTATAAGGTAACAGTTAACTTTAGGCATTTGATAAGTGATATTACAAACCTCACTATTGGAATAAATTCAGGTTCCGGTGCTATTGTGAAATTGAAACTACAGTACATATATACAAGGCTATTTTTCAATTTCGACTAATTGCATGTTTTTGTCTCTTTAGTTTGCCCTATATGCAATTTTGGCCTCCCTAGTTTTTTTTTTTAAAAAGAAAACTAATTAAGTCTCCCTACTTTTTAAATTAAACAAATTTGATCCTTTTGTCTGATTTCTTCTTCTTAAAACTCTTAAATTCTCATTTTCTACTCAAAATCTTCACAAATTGAACTCTTTAAATTATTTTAAATTTTCTTTTATTCAAACTCACCAATGTCAGCCTGGAAAAAGAATTGTACAAACCCTAATACCACATCGTATAAAATCTTATCAAAATTTTCACTATATTTATGAATCTGATAACCATAAAAACGTATAGAAACCATTCTTTACTTTGATTTTTGAAACAATTCGTGACAAGCACAAAACGAGCTCAGTCAATTCTACGAGCATATTTATAACCCATAAAACATTGATAGAGTCAACTTTGGGGAAGTAGTGACAAAGCATGTAAAGAGAAGAAGCATGATCACAAGAAATCGAAGTCTAAAACACTTTACCATAAAACAATGAACGATGAACTTACGAAACTGTGTATGGGGGAACCGAAACGGCGTCGCAAAAGGGTCCTAGCCTGATGAGCGTCCCGCGGCTGCTCAGCTATCTTGGGTTGAACCAACAGCTTAAAATAACAGAACAAAAATTTTTAATGTATAAAATAAAATAAGTAGAAAACTTTAAATATATATTCTCTCTTTTTTTTATTTTAATGTATAAGTCACTATAAGGTGGAGTCACCTGCAATCTGTACATAAGACTCGTGGGTATTATGCATGTTTATAACGAACTGACTCGTTAAACTGAATAAAACATAAGTCATCTGTAAGGTTAGTGAAATTTATATTAACAGAAACTCAAGTATTTTAGTGTTTTTAATTTTAAACATTGAAAGAATGTAACCTTTTATATGAAATTTTTATTTTTATAAATTATATATTTATTTTATATAATTTTGTTAAGATTTATTCAACTAAATAGTTAAGGAGGGTTTGACAATTTTTTAAAATTCCAATATTTTTCCTTTTCTAAAAACTCTTTTTGTATTTTTAAGTTTTTATGGTTCATAATTTTCATAAAGAAAAACATATATATTTTAATATGATTCTTTTTTTATTGTTTAATTACATAATAATATGATATTAAAGGTAAATATTTCATATTAATTAATAATTGAAATTTAATCGATATTTTTTTTATTATTAAAAAAATTAATGGGTGTTGAAAGTTGTTTTAAAGTATCTTTCAGTATTAGTACGAACAATGCACTATTTTTGAGCGATTTACGTTCAAAATGTTAAATAAACAAAATTGTGTGTAAAAAATTATGTTCTTTCAAAATATAAAGATTATAATATAAAGGTTAAAAAATTTAATACATAATAAATTATGTTCTCACTCTAACTAGAAATAGAAATAAGTCAAATTGTTCGATACTTACGATTTAAATTTTTTAAAGTTTAACTGATTTTTTAAGTAATAAATTCAATTTAAACTTCTTAAAATGCTTAATTAATTGAATAAATCAAATTTGTAATTAAGAAAAAGTTTATTAAACATGTTACAATGATCTATTTAAAACTTATAAAATTTATAATAATATATTAAATAATTTTATATCAAAATTATAATATAATATAATATTAAATAAATTAAATTTTAAAATAAATAAAATAATTATAAATTCTAATTCTTTTTATTAGAGTTAAAGAGTATTCTTACTGTATATCTTTTAAGAGATAGTCATATTTGCTGAATTCTTTTTAAATAAGTATATCTTTTTTTATAACTTATTTAGATATAAATTTTACAAGCTTTATAAAGACATATTTATTTAGATAATTTAATAGCTTATTTATAAATAAAAATTAATAACTTATTGAATGTTTCAATACGAAATAAGTTATTTAAAAAATTAATAAATTAAAACAAACTTTTAAAAAGGTCATATTAAGTTTAATAAAAAATTTATGACAAATAATAAATTAGACTTAAATTTTAAAACTATTAAATAGGTTAGATTTATTTATGCAAAATCTAACCTAACCTAACTATTTTCATCCCTAGCTATATCACACCACTCTTGAACAACTTATGTTTTATTTTTAAATAAACACATCTCATGCTGGAAAAGAGGATATGTTTCAAAATTTTACAAAAAGGAAATTATATTTAAATTTATTTATTTATTTATTTTTATATGAAAAAAATTCCATCATATTAAGCTGCTTTTTTAACAAAAAATAAAAAAATGACGATACTGATTTTAATAACAAGAAAGCCAAAATAACCATATCTAATAATAATCAAGATACCCTTTGATTTAAAATTTAGTAAAGTTAATTTTAAATTATTAAAAATGATTAAACATAAATTAAAATTATCAAAATCAAGATGGTTAATAATTTATAATAAAATATTAAAATTTAAATAAATTATCTTATAAAATTGGCTAGAATATTGAGTTTGTAGATCTTTTCTTTTAAGGGGTAGAATATCTTTTTTTTAAAAATGAAGCATCAAATAACACTTCTGTGCATATTGTGTATTCTCTCTTAAGTTTGTTAAAATGACATTGCTTTTTTTACGCATTCGTGTATAAATCTCTTTAGACATACAAAATTCACTATTTTAATTCAAACATCTACAGGGTTTACACTCCAAGAAATATACAAGTTTGAAGAAATTGTGTATAAAAATACTAGATGTAACTTTAAACTTGTGAATATATCTATATAATTTATCTTGTTCATCTTAATCCTTTTATTGTTATTTGAGGGTATAACTAGCTGGAATCCTTTTAAAACTCGTTGTCTTAAGAAACGTCTCGTCTGGACCTCATCAAAGACTTGTTCAAAAACTTACTTTCTAAACGTTTCTCAGAAACGAATACGAGCTATGTAGTACAAAATTCCAGATACCAAAAAACAAAAAGAATGCCAACTATCATCATCCAGTAATGGAGCACATTTGACAGAAGCAACACGATATGATCTTAAAGAATGCATCACCTTGACAAAATATTTGCTTCCAAATAAAATATTTGCTTTCAAAACTTTAAATATTTTAAGGGGTAAGACTTAAGTGGTTTGGAAAGGCAAGAATAATTTCTTGACAAATGATGCATATGTAATAGATTTGGAAAGATAAATCAACAAGACGGCTAACGTGATACACATTACCCGCATAAAAAATCATTGAAAACAAATAAATATATTCTCCACTGTAACATGCAGCAATATTACAATAATTACAAGTGATAGTTTGAATGCATAGCATGTTTAGTATCCTCCTGTGACCAAACTCTTATATCTGCTGTCCTTGAAACAAAAGAATATGAAGAAAAATGAAGCTGAATGCTTTTATTCCAACACTATAAGATTTCTACATTCATTGTAGCCACGACCACAAACAGTAATGCTTCTGAACTGAAGCAACTACGAAGTTGCAGTGCCCGTCACGACAATAAAGCCAGGATTGCATGCTCTTTGAAAATAAAACAAAAATAAAGTAGATACTGAAGCAGTATAAAACACACTCAAAAGAAGAGACTTGAGAGGCATATAAAGAAATGTGTGGTTGAATGATAATTCCCATGTTACAGATCATAAGTGGACCGGCCATTATCTGAATGTGTCTGAGATCCAACATTTGAGCTTTGGAAGGTAAATAAGTTGGGGTATGAGAAATATGGATCCTCATCCATTGAAGGTAATCTCATTGGCTGGTGACTAGAGGATTTTTCATCCAACACATGATCATTGGGTAGGGAAGAATCAAAATCTTCCTTGAGTGTGTCAAACGAAGGAAAACTTGATGAATGAGAACCTGGGGAAGCATAATGATCTTGGGGATGTTCAACATCATTTCTATTATGGACATCAGAGCTACCAGAAGAATTTTTCTCAGTGAAATGCTTTTCATTTGTTGGAGATTCATTATCACCACCGGCATAAAATGGATTCTCAGAGCTGCTGTCTGGTACATATTCACTACTTTTCTTCTTAGTCAGCTCATCAATACGAACTTGAGCAAGGCTAGCAGCTGAACGAGCTGCAGCTGCTGCACGTTCAGCCGTTTCAGCAGCTGCTTGGGCAGCAGCCAACACATCCTGCAAGTCCACATTTGCTTCAGGTTTTGTGCTTGACAATGAGGAAGGTGAGTCACTGTGTCTTGCAGAAAATGATCCAGATGATACAGGTGGAGGGGAGATGAATGGCACAAACTGTTTATTCTCCATTGTACCAATTGAATTATGGGATTCATCTTTGTGAACCGTTGATCTATCTTCAACTTGCTCCTGCTTTACATCTTCAAAATCTTCAGAATGGCTTGGTGAATGAAGATCAACTTCAAGGGGAAGCATAGTCAGAGGAGTAACCATTTCTGGAGCTGTGGCAACATTTGCATTTGGCCTGACTGATGCCCTAGGAACTTCAGGAAACTCTAATGTGTCAGAGTCAGAATCAGAATCAGGTTGTTCTTTACTGGGTGTATCATGAGCAGAGCACACCTCTTCATTGTGTTTTTCTTCAGGAAGGGGCAATTTTGACCCACTAAAAAATTGGGTTGGGCCACTCTGACAAGGAGAGGACATGTAATGTAAGATACTGGTGTGTGAAAAATAATTTACCACATCATTGCTGTTTTTTCCTCCTCTAGTTAGTCACTACAGCCTAACACTTACCAATAAATCTTCGTGGTTTTTAAAGAACTCAGTTTCTGAAGCTGCTGGATCCCAATCTAAATCATGCTCAACAGCAATTTCTTTTAGAAGGTTCAGTTTCTTTTCTGGGGAAGGGGCACGAACTGACAGCAGCTCTATTAACTACAATTGAAATTCACATGGAGAATGTCATACGAGAAAATGATTCTCTGTTGGAAAAATGTCTCCGAAAGAGAAGAAAAAAATCTATATAGAATGAAAAATTCATGGAACCTGGCGATTAACACCACAATCTGGGCGAAGCTCAGTCGCAGCAGATAAAAATTCCTTCCCATATTTGCCAGCAAATAGTAGCTGAACCTGCAACAACTCTGGCAGATCGGCACACCTTGGTGCAGCAAAACATACACTAGAAATGGCTTCTTTCAAGTCTATAGGACATTCCCTGAACAACATTGAGAATTTCCATACAAAATTAGAGAATCATTGGGCCTGGTGATACAAAATGGTTGTTTTTACACTGTGGTTAGTGGTTACAACAGTGATTGGACCAATGGGCCTTAATCCATGACATACTTTTGATGACCTGAACAATGTTAGAAGGATTGAACACAAGTAAAATTCTCAGTCTGTCTAGTGATGCTGATAGCAAATAGTACAAGCTCTATGACAATGAAGATTGGAACAGAATCAACAACCATTCAGGACTGAAACTGTAACTGCTCAACCCAATATTACTAGCTTGACTAAAATATCTAGACAAAATAGTCTAGGACAAGCTTTATTTCAAGAAAAGACAGAACTTAGTTACAATATCATAGGTCCTAGTAGAGTTGTTATCCAATCAAAATTGAAGTTCCATCTAAGTAACCTGTGCTCTCCTTTAATACACTGGTTACCATGATGAAACTCCAATTCTGATTAAAGAACCACACCAACTATAACTAATGTACTACATACACCTAAGTTTTATCCTTTTGCAGAAGTGATGTTTACACAGGTAACGATAATGAATAATGATACATGGGCCGGCCAATTGCAGTAGCTGTAAAATGTTTGCAAATCATAATAGGTTAAAGGTTGACACTAAAAATCAGCTCAATAAGGTACAATTCTGAAGGCAGTAGCATTGGCTGTAGTTACTAATAAGTAACTACAAGAATAAGGGCTCTCCAGTAGGTGAGGCTGCCTAAATGGATCCGTTGAAACCATTGGACTACATCATAAAGAATACTTTTAGTACAAACATTCTGAGCAAGATTTTTTTAATGGTTTCTCATAATGTTTTCTTAGGTCATCCTCTACCTCATACTATTTTCAATTTGATCCATTTGTCTCACTGGATTAACGTTTTTGTTCTTGTTGTCACTTGTCACTTCACTTCTTAAACACCAAACAATCATGTTATAGAATCCAGTAGATTTTTCCTTTGAGTTTTATAGGCACCTTGTAATCACAAAATTATGCCTGAAGCATTTTCCATTTAATCAAATTGCCACCAACTAAATCCTATTGTTCAAATTCAATGTTCAAGAACACAGTCAAATACTAGTTGAACATTCAAATAACTGACTCAAGCTTTCATCCTAGATGAATTAAATCAAGCATTTGTGCAGTGACATTAAATAGACTTGAGAAAGGAAAAATTATGCTGAAACTATTCATCATCACATTCACAGATTATTACCAAACACTACCCCAAACACTGGCTTTCATATTGTTTAATAACGGTCATATCTACAAAACAGATTGCTCATTGGATCCTCCTGAGTTATTAGTTTGTCGGTCAGCTCTGTAAACATGGCAGCATTTTTTTTTTTATCTACAGATGGGTAACATACCTACAGTATCATCAACACAAGTTTTACCCATGGCTAGCTTGAATGCAAATCACTTGGCATATCATGCAAATTCAAACAAGAATCTAAGCTAGTCAACCAGATTTCTGATTCATCTCTAGAATACCTTTGAGATTCAATTATTGGAAGGCGGACAGCAATAAGTTCGCAAAAGAGTTCAATGATCTCTTGAGCAGCCATCATGTTCTCTTCTCTGATAATATGCTCTACCTGCATAGATGACCACATCAAGAATGGCGAACAGTTTTCTTTCTGCCCCAGCCTATTGGTTCAAAATTCTCAAACAGAAAAAATGCACTATTAAACATTCTATGCAAATCAAGTTTACCCTAATACGAGCTGTGGCTTCTTGGCCAGTCTCAAGTAGTTTGGCAATATCGCGTCGCATATTCTTCAGTTGAATCTCTCTCCTGTTTCTTAGCAACTTTATCCGTGGAATTGTCAGTTTTAGCAGAGTTTTACTGAAAGTATGATCAATTATAAACAAATAAATTACTAGCAGATAAATTAAACATGAAAGAAATAATTACAAAAAGAAAGGGAAGAAAACACCAGAACAGATTGAGTCCAGATGAGCTTTTGCAATAAACATAATTATTTAATCAAACTAACACACACAATCCTCATAAAATATAAACAATTAAACAATAAGAGAAAAAAATAAAAAAGAAATACCAAGTTAGTGAGCAAATAAAATACAGGAATAATTCAGGATATACTATCCCAATAGTTCAACAAGACTAATTAATGTACTGTATAGAACAATTCTCTAAAAGGTAAAAAATAAAATATAAATCTGCTATTGAATCCATTTCAAACTTCATAGAAAAAAATATACAACCACAACTTACAAGAATGAAAAAAAATATATAAAATCAAACAAAATAATCAAAGAGTACCATTTGGCAGCCTTAAAACCCTTGTTGAAGAAGGAATCGAGCATCGACATGGTGCAGGTTTTGATCAGAAAAAAACCCTAAATCACAGGAAAACAAAACCCAGAAGCCAAAAATCGAGGATTGCAGTGAGTTTACGATATTTATAAGAGTTTGGAAATTTAAAGTTTCAATTTGTTTTTCTAAATTGAACAGGGAAAAGAGAGAAAGGTAGGGTGAGTGTACATCAAAGATTATGAAAAACAGAGAATGAAAATCATGAAATTGTAAGTGTACCCTGTTTGGGACTGACTTCCTTAACGAAGAAGGATTTTGATTTATAAAGAAAGATCTATGAAAATGATATTGAAACCCGACTCTCAGATTTTAATTATTTTATTTTATTTTCTCTTTTATATTGTATCTAACTATATATTGATTTTAATGTCTTCAATCCGCGTGGGTGATGCGTAGTTATTTATGTTTTGTCTTATTTTTGGTAGCCAAAATATGTTTCCTGTGTCTTGGCAATGCCAAAAGTTCACATAAAAATTTGTAAGTGTTTTTGTTCGCTGACGTTATTAAATCAAAATTTGTAAATAAAATTATAAATATATTATATGATTTGATTAAATTTCTTAAAAAAATATATTTTATCCTCAACTATAAATATTCTATTATATTAAATAAAATAACTCATAAAGGTATTTTTTTTTCAAGGCAACCATGTTTAAACTAGATGCAAGTCACAAAGTTTTTCATCTGAGTATAAATAAATATATATATATATATATATATATATATATATATATTATAAAATTGTTCAATTAAATTTAACAATTAAAGCATATAAGTGATATAACAAAGAATCATATAAAAATAAGATTTAAATATGTTATTGTTCTTTATAAATGTTATAACACCATCAATTTTGTGGTCTTTATATAAAAAAATATGAGTTTTGGGTGCAGGATATCTCACTATAGCGAGAAAGATGTGTCCAGAATCCTCTCGTTGTAACTAGAATGACAGACAACAAAGAAAAATTTTGTCTGATTTTTTGGCTGCAGCGAGAGAAGAACTCGTTGTAGCTAGAATATCGCGAGTTAAGAGGTATTGAAGGGCATTTAACCTAAGGAACTTGGATTACAATCCAAAATCTCAATCTTTCCCTATTCTCTCTGACCTCTCACCCTCTTTTCTTAGAACTCTTCATCTAAACCTCAATCTTCCTTTGAATCCAGGCTTGGGAGTTCAATCATTCAGACCCAAGTAAGTTTCCTTAAGCTTGGTTCTCTAACTTCATTCTTATTCCTCCATTTTATCTGATCTAAAGGTTTGTACTTTGTGATACTCAAGGAAACCTTAACCCTTAAGACGATATTCTCTACCGAGATGTTGTGTCTCTCCCTTGGATCTCTAGAAAAACTCGATCTGAGAGACTCATTTTCAGGTAAGGGGAGTGATCCTAAATCCTAACTTCTCTTTGGTATTTTGATTTGAAAATCCCATGATTATTTTCAAAACTATCTAAATATAAATTGTAGCAAAAGCTTTGAAAAGAACCATTTTGAGAATATTAGGATTTTACCAAGAAACATGGTTTAGAGACAGTAAGATTTCTATTTTACATTTTTAGAATGATAAACTTACAGTGAATATTGAGTGATGCCAGACTTTAGGATATATGACTTTGTTATTACTGAGAAAGTATGTATGTTGGATTGTACGATTGGGCTGAGTCTAGAGGTGTCCGACCTTCGGCACATTGTATTGGCTTGTGTGGTGTGAAATTGTTTGATGATATTTCCGTGTTAAATGATACATTGAATATAGATATTGTTTAATAGTTGAAGTATATCAAAATGGGTGAAACCATGTTATTGATGAAAAGTGTTCAACTGTTCTTAAATGAAGAAGAAGTTTTATGTATGAAATAAAATGATATGACATGATGATGGAATTGTGAGAAATGTGATTATATTGCATGAGCCAGAATAGATTGATGGATGTGATTATGATACAGATATTGTGGTATATCAAAAGGTGTACTCATAATATATGTATTGTAATACATTAAGTTATATTATCAAGACTCATGTATTATGACACGTTGATCTATGAGAAGGATATGGAAAAGAATGAGAATAGTTGAGAAATGCTGAGAATAAGTATAGATAGTTATAGAGATACACAAAGGGTATAGAGTCCAGAGAAGATTTAGGAAATCTTGAAGAAATTAGGGTGGTGAATACTAATTGTAAATGGGTGCACAATGATTTGCTAAAAGTGAAAGCATTCATTGGTCACTCACTTATTTTCTAACGAGACTCCTGACTATACCTTTACTAAAAGGGGCCAGGTTGACACACGTGTTTTCAAGCCAACATATTTATAAATGAATTATTCCTATTAAGTTATGTCGCATATACTTGGACTGTATGAAATTTCATATGCTGGAATGTGAATGGGTAAGTTGTACAGTCACTGGATAGAAGTTGTGAATTGCAGTGCTATTTGGTTGATTGTTGAATAAGACTAATAGTGAGGAATTTGATTGGATCAAACATTTATAAGCATTATTCCTTTTAAATGGTGTTGCATATGCTTGGATTATGAGAGAGCTATATAATTACTGGACAAAGAGCAATGTATTTGCAGTGAGGTGTGATAGTATTGTTGAAAGGGTTAGGGATTGAGTTTTAGTATGTTGTGTGTATGATAACTTGAGAATTATAGCCAAGGACTTCTGTTGTTTTATTTTAGGCAAAATTGAGAGTTTCGGATGTTGAGTGTCTCACTCAAGCGAGGTAGTTGATAAATCCATATTTTACTACATTTTTAGTATAATTTTTGTTAATAAATAAGTAGTAAAGTACCAAATAAACTTGAAAATATTATAAAAATTGCATTAATATTTATAATTGTGTAAATAGTTTAGAATTTTAGATTTTATTCCAATTCTGAACAATTTGACTCAAAAAGACTTAATTTTTGTGCAGAAGCTTGAGTTGAGACTTTGAAGTTGATATTGAAGTGGAAAAAGGTGAAAGGATTGAGCTTAAAGAGCAAGAATCAGATGCTAAGTGCTGGGCGTAACCACTTTGAGTGTAAAGAGTTAACACTTAGAAGAAGAAAATATATGAAGATCTAGTGCGTAGCAACTCTAAATACTGAAAGTGAACACTCTAGCAACAGAATTCATGAATAGCCTACGTAGAATTGAGGGGACACTCTAAGTGCTGAGGGTAGCCACGCGCAGAATTGAGTGGACACTCTGGTCACTTAAAGTAGCCACACGCAAGGCTTATTTGCACAAGAATACATGTGCGTGGACACTTTTACTACTTAAAGTGTCCACGCAAAACAACATAATTTAGGAAATCACTTTTAAGTGTCAACTTTGGACGTTTAGAGTTCCCACTTCAACCTTAGAAGCTTTTGTAAGGCTTTCTACGTTATTACTCTTAGTGATTAAAGTGTCAACGTGGAAGGTGGCAGAAAAAAATATAAATAGCTCTTAAGAGTTCAGATTTCGAAGTCTTTTGCCATTTTTTGTTTTCTTTTCATTTTTACACCTTAGGAGAGTTAGAGAGAGAGATTGGGGGCAACTTCTAAGCTCTGGACCTTGAGGAATTAGGCTGGAATTGGATTTATGAAGAAATTCTGCAGCTTCTCTTCTTCTACTCTTTCTCTCTCTTTTTCTTTTAGAAACATGTTTTGATTTCTTTTTATTAGGGATCCATGGATCCAGATTTGATATTGTCATGTAATTTTGGATCTGTACCTTGAGGTTTTAATTGAATTGAGTATGTGATTATGTTCTTAATGTAGTTGTGAACTAATCCTTCATTCAATGGAACTTAGAGAAATCTTCATCAATGGAAATTGAGTTTATTTCTCATATCTGAATCATATGTCTAGGTTATTAAGATCTTAGGAATAAGTATCATAATCTAGTAATCCTATAATTTTCAGAACTTAATGCAATATTTGGTTGAATTTCACCTAAGGAATTAAGGAGGTTTAATTAGATATTAGGATCAATAAGGCAAGGAATTGTCCTTTAGTTAAAGAAGTGAAATTGATTATCAATCAATCAGAATTCTTAAGAGTTTAGAATATTATTACATTGCAATAGAAAATCTGGTGAAGTGATTCTTAACTATTTTCCATATAGCATTTTAATACAAAATTCGTAGTTCTATTTTGCCGTATTTTTTAGATTTCTGCACTTTATTATTTTTGTTTGTTAAATGATTCAAAACACTCTAAATTTGTTTGGCTCAACTAGTTATTGATTTGTAAAGTGGTAATTGATAGAACTAATCCCTGAGGATGATACTTGGGACTCATTGATTTTTTAAATTTTATTACTTGCTACAACTACCTAGTACCCTTGCTAGTTAGTTCTCTAATTTTTGTGATAAGTTTTTGGCGTCGTTGTCGGGGATTATTTACTTTCAATATCATTAGTAACAAAAAGGTAGCTAGATTGAGCATTTCTTTTTATTGTTTTGCTTTCTAATTTTTCTGCATAACTTTTTTTCTGCATATTGTGAAGTTTTTTGCATATATATTTTTTTTATTTCTGCATGAGTAGTTTTGCATTTTTTTCCTGCATGGCTGTTTAATTTTTCTACATAATTCATTTTTGTTTATGCATTTTGTTTTCTGGATAGATTTTACATTTTTTTGTTGTTTATTGCATAACTTTTCTGTATTCTTTTGCACTTTTTTGCATAATTTCATTTTTCATTTTACATAATTTTCTTTGTTTTCTACATGTTTTGTTTTGTAATTTTCTACGTAGTTTTAGAATTTATTTTACTAAGTTACTGATTTCATTTGAATTTTGTTTACTTTCTTTTTGTATGCAAGGAAAAACCAGAAAAATAAGTTGCTCTATTGTTTGATGGCAACCAGCATGTATCATAATTTTAACCAAAGCCAAGTTACAAGAACAGAAGCTTATGAAACAGATGCTTTTGAAACTTTAATTAATAATTTTCGAGTTGGAGTTGCCTAAATTAATCCTTTTGGTGTGTGATTTTTAGAGCAAAAATTATTTAAATGGAACTTATGATGTGGTTGCACCAGAACTTCAAGAACAAATCAATTATGAAGAAAATTTTCAAAGACCTGAATCTACCTTTCCTCATATATATCAATATCAAGCTAACATGAGTCAGCCACTTATAATTGGAATCAACAAATTTCTGCTGCAACAACACCATTCTCAAGTCCTCATTTTCACAGCCTTATTTTCAAGGATCATATTCTCAACTTCTAAGAGGAATGCAACCTTCACAGACTCCTCAAAAGAAATGAATGAACTTGAAGAAACTTTGTTCTAATTCATGGAATTTACTCAGTCAAGTTTTAAGAATCAAGAGACATCCA